GCTATTCAAACCCAACACAGCATAGAACAGACACAGACGGAGGGTCTGAGAGGAAAGGGTTCCAAAGGCCGTGTGGAAACCATCTCTCTGTCCGGCCCTCCTATAATCTGCCGTGAAGGCCATTTCTCTGAAGCAGCAGCCAATCTCTTTTCATAGTGCTGTTTCTTCTAACTACAGAAGGAAGAAAGGAGCCTTTGGGGTGCATCTTACTGTGTCCTCTGTTCCTCTTTGTCTTTACGTTTTGAGTTGGTCCATCTGCAGCAGGGCCTGCTGTCAACCTACAGGCTTCCATGCACTTTCCTTGAGGTGGCAAACGGAGGAGAAAAATGGCATTTCAGTCCCCTTGAGATTTGGTATCTGGGGTAGCAAACCCTGCAGCCATCTCCACAACCGTGGTTCTTCACACTTCCCAAGCAAAGCTGATAACACCTATGGATCCTAGTCACTGAAAAAAAATGCCTATCAAACACTGGGAACCATTTGAGCAGAGTCACGTTTCTCTTGAAGCCACCCAAGAAGAGCACAGGTCCAGGGCAAGAGGTTGGGGGTCCCTCGCCATGAAGCCCTTTCCTCTGCTAGCCTTCCTTGTTTTTCTGTCTCTCTGGTTTTTCTCGTCCAGGTCAGGTGTAGACAGAGAACTTTAGTAATGATACGGTAGAGAGCTCAGCAAGTAAGAGAGGGAAGAGACGCAGCCCAGTCCTGTATCCCATCAACTTACACTCTTGAGTCTGAAATCTGGCTGTGGCCACGTCTCACACCTCGTGTTCGGAGATCGTGTTTACACCAACGACCCCATGAGATTAAGCAGTCAGTACTCACTGGACTAGGCTACCTCTGGGTGAGCTTTGGCACTTGTAGTTTCATAGGTTAAAAAAAAAAAATCTTCAGCGGATCTTTGCATGGCCACCTCCTTCTCATCCACTGTTCTCTGCTCAAATGTCCTCTCCTCCAAGAGCAGGTTCCCAGCCATCCTAAGCAGCTCCCTCACCAGGAAAGCCGTTCTCTAGCACACGACCCTATTCAGAGTCTTCAAAATGCTTTCACCACTACCTGAAATTATTTGTTATTGCTGTTTTGATCTCGCTAAAAGTCTGCATTCCCAACTGGAATAGGAGCTATACGGGAGAGGTTTTGGTCTGTGACATTCTCTGCTGTGTCCCCAGCCTTCACAATAGCACCCGGAGCCTGGGAGGCACTCACAAAACACGGTGCATTAACCAATGTGATGGAACTGAACCGATGACGACAGACACCTGCACCCGTGATGTTTATGCCTACACTTTTACACAAGTGTGTAGCTCACTACAGGCACAGGAGGACCTGTGTACCACACCCGACAATACCTCTGATGGGGCACTGTGCAATTGTTGCTATCTGTTCTGTCCTTTTTCACAGATTTCAAATGTGTCATAAAATATTACTGGGTCAGGGACCATCAGGCCACCAGATGGTTGAGAATGATTTATTTCCTTGATTTCAGACTACTGAAGAAAGACTGCAGGGGAAAAAAAATAAAAAAAGGCAGTTCTTATCTCTGAGCTTACAGAATATGAAAGATAAAAGGGACCTTGAAGTTCATCTAGTCCAGATCCACTCTTAATTTAAAAACCTATTCTACCCGCCAATGACATGGTTATCTGACCTTGGCTTTAATATTTTTAGTGATGAGACACTCATTATTTTACAAGAGAACCTGTGTCACAATTGGACGGATTTTGATGAGCAAGGTCTTCCTTCTATTGATTCAAAATTTCCTTCCTGTAACGTCTGGCCCTTGGAGCAACAATGAGTAAGTCTAGTTCCTGCTCTGAATGATGAACTTTGAAATATTTGAAGACATCTGCAATATCTCCCCCTACTATCTGCTGCTTCAGAATAAGCAACATAAATAACTCTAGCTGTCCCTCACTTGTTCCTCCCTGTTAGACCCCTCGTCTTCCAGGTGGATGGTCTCTGGGCACTCTTCAATTAGGAAACATATGTTCTCCAGGGCAAAGTGGAATTAAGTCTTATTTTTAACGATGGATTTAATTGTGCTTGTGCCATAAAGCTACTAAGTGATCCACTTTTGTAAGTCAACTATGCATAAAATTATACATTATATCATTACCAATACCAGCATCTGTTATTAATTATAAAATGTAAAAGCAGATTCACTCTGATATAATGAGCCTCCATCTCCACGGGAAGTCTAAAGAACATTTCATAAGTGACAATGCCAGCTTGCTCCTGAAAGTCTTTTGATGAAAATATGAAAAAGCCTTTAAAATAATCTGGCTCCTCAACTTGCACACGCACAGTCAGGTGGCTTCTTTCGAACTCAAAATTCATGGAATAAGCAATTATAGGCAGCCTGAACGTCAGGCATTCATTCCTCTATAAACACCACTAGTGGAAATAATCTAAGACAAACTAGTAAACACGAATTGCATTTTTATAGCAAGAAAATTTTATCAAATGCTTACTGAATGCTTTCCAGGTAAGCAAAGCACAACTGAAGTGACCCTGTCCATATTCAGACTTTATGAGAAGATCTGGTAAGTGAATTCCTGTTTTGCCATTCTTAGGATCAATATGGTTGGTTATGATCATACTGTCACAGTATCAATGGCTATGATCATACTATCAGTACCAATCACTAACGAAGGTAGAGATCATTATACACAGTGTTGCAGCCCAATGTTTTCCCATATTGACCTGCCACTCCTAAAAACTAACAAATGGATTAAGTTCTCACGAGGAGAGTTGATAGGTTTCAATCCACATCTACACTTACAATCTACACTGTAATCATCTGTGTCTTCAAAAACTAGTGGTGAGCTATAACATACTGGAATATCCATGATGATGTCTGATTGAATAATATCTCGGAAATATTAAGCACTGTTCTCTGTTTCATGGAACGAACAGGGCTTTAACTGTTGAACTTGGTGGTTGACCATCCTTATTTCAGACTTTCCCCCTCGGGTGGGGGTGGGGGGGGGAGATGTAGCATCATCAAGGAGAACGCAGAGACATTGACCCAGTAATTCTTTGATTATCTTTTCAAATAAACAACCAGAGTAATTCAGTTGTTTCGACAATTTGTGTTATGAGTTGTGTTCCTTCCAAATGCATATGTTGAGGTCCCAAGCCCCAGAACCTCAGAATGTGATCTTATTTGTAAATAGACTCGTCTCCAATATAATTAGGTTAGGTAAAGTCATACTGAAGAAGGGTGGGCCTCTAAAGCAGTATGACTGGTGCCTTTATGAACAAGGTGGTATCTGGGGATATACACTCACAGGGACAACGCCATGTGAAGACGAAGCCAGAGATGGGGTGATGCTTCCACAACCAGCAAACACCAAAGATTGCCATCAAGCCACCAGAAGCTGCATGACGGGCACGGAACAGATTTCGTCCTGACACTCCTGGAAGGAACCACGATTGCTGACACCTTGATCTCAAGCTCTCCAGCCTTCAGCACTATGGAGCAATACGCATCTGCAGCTTAAGCTGCTCCTTTTGTGGTGCTTTGTTACAGCAGCCCTAGGAAACTAATACTGTTCTGAATCTCTTAAAAAATACTTGGCACGTTTCTTTGTGGCACATCTTCCAAAGCACTTTGCTCTGGATGTGCTTAATGTGGCATAGTCTTGACCTCTGAGATGAATTTTTTAACAGCCAAAAGCTATTCATGTCTCAGATATAAATATGATGGATCATTTGCATAGGTAATCCACCATCGTTTTCAAATAGGCTAATTTACAACCATAAATTAATGAAACTGATTTTTATGCATCTCTACAACAGACTTTGGCAGCCTAAAGGATGTTCTGAACAGTAACAGTATTTCTAGGGAAAAAAAGGTATAACCTCCTAAGGTAACTATCTTGAAATACATATAAAAATGCATGTTTTATAAATCAGGATATTCCGTTTTAAAGTTTCACTTTATAGCTACACTACACACGTGTGTAATATGTTATGAATAGCATGAGTTGTTACTTTATGATAAGCCAGAGGTTTTTAATAGTGCTTTCGATGCCCAGACGCTTGACTGAAGATATTTCTGGGAAATGAGCCCAGCCCTTCAGCCTAGGCAGCCTCCCTTCCATCTGATTTACATTTTGAGCTTCCATTGTAGATCAAGACTACAATAAAATTTTCTGTAATGTGGAAATGTCTTATATCTGCATTGTCTAATACAGAAGCTGCTAGTCTCAAGTGGAAATGCAGCTATTTCAACAAAGGAAATGACATTTTTATTTTTATTTAATTTTTATTTAAATGGCCACATGTAGCTATTGGCTACTGTACTGGATGGCATAGTTCTAGATTTTATTTTGAATTTAGATTCTGCTAACAAAGTTTGAAAATCACTGCTAAAAACTAGCAGAGTAGGAAACTTCTGCTAATAAAGGAATAACTGATGATTCGGATAAATTCTCCCAGAAAACACAGACATGCAACTTTCTGGGGCATGTGACGACTGATCTTAAACCCAGCGAGTATGTAACTCCATGAAATCTGCCAACTAGAACTAACATCGCTGATCTTTAGCCAGTAGGGGGAACTGAAGAGTAGAAGACAACATTTTCCTTGGAGAGTGGGATTTATTACGTTTTTTCCTACACATGTTTTTAGTCTATGTGGGGGCCCTAAAATAAATATTCATGTTCGGGAACTCCAAACCTTGCCTTCTCGAACATCCAGAGGTCTTTACACACACTGCATGCACCTGTTATCAAAGGATCCCTAGGAGGCAATAGAAATTGGTTCTAGAAGATACAGTTGAAAATCCAACTGATTCTACACCTAGTCTTTCCCAATTTCCTTTGTTAACATGTGATAAGGTTCAGATTTCCATATTGATTTTTAGCTTTACCTTACTTCTCCACGTACCAGAGAAAAATCTTAAGGGCCTTTATATTTAGACAGAAGAGGAAGATTTCCTCTTCCTCTTATCATTATGAGAAAAGCTGTATGCATATTAAGTTAACCACACAGGGCCTTACCTCTTGGTAAAGGTCACTGAGATCTTCCTGGTGGGCCTGTTTGGAACATCCTGGGAATTCCCTAACACAACAGGAATCTGGGGGCCAGTCCATCTCTGTCATCTCCAGCCAGTCAGTGAAGTACACCACTCCACAGCATTTAAACTGAAAGAAAAAAAAGAAAGAAAGAAAAAGAAAAAAAGAAAAAAAAAGACTGGTCAGGCTCAGAAACTACAAAAATATTTTCTTAACTTACAGAAGACTAAACGTTAGATTTCTTACATTTTTGTGCCCAGAGCTACACTCATTCCTGTCATCACCTAATGCTATGTGTACATTCTAAGCTGATGACAGAAATGTAGTGAAGGACTCCACAGTGGAACAATTCTGAACAGTAATGCTTATAACACAAGCAGTCAGATCAGGCATGGCTGAGTCTTTCCCCAGCTCTAGATCTTCTACAGGTGATCACGTAGCAATAAATCCAAAATGCACAGTAACCAAACTACTAGCTGGAATCTTATATCCATCATTTAACCTCTACCCACTACAGAACAGTTGATCAGTCTATTCGTGTATCACCTAATACCAATTTAACTGCTTAATAAATCCAAATATTAAAGTAAAAGTTTCCATAATCTTGGTAGAAAGAGTTGTTGACCAAAAGCGCACATCACAAAAATCACCCGACTTGAATTCATTAGCCAGTAGATTTTCAAAAAGTTTTTGAGATATAAACTCACGTTGGGCCAACAAATGTTTATGTAAGTGAACTAGAGTCTTGAAATAAAGTATCGTATTCTAGCACCATCATCCATCGCAGAAGAAATGATGTGCCTTCAGCTTGAAAAAAATTGGATTTAAGAAAAGCTACGTTGTCTTTTGGTCTTTTTTTGTCTCATTTCACCAGGGATTAGCAAAAACTTTTTCTGCTCAAAGTTTAGAAATACTGCTTCAGGGACATATGTAGATTAGGTTAAGAATAATTAGCTATGATAATTTTCTGCCCTTGGGTAGAAGGAGTTCCTCTTCCCTATAGTCAAAAACAAGGACTCTGGGCAATCACTGAGAAGAATTTTGCCAAGAGTGACTGGCTCTGCAAATTATGTAGCACAACAGACCAATCTGTGCCCAGGATTAACACCATATCACAATCTACCATTTCAAAATCCGACAAAAATCAAACTATGAAGATTTCTGAACTTCTCATGTAAAAAGAAAACAAGGAAAATACTAAAAACGATTTTGCATTTTTCATTTGCCTACATATCTAACTTTAAAAAAATCATCCTAAATGAGGAATTGCTCATGTTACAATTAATATACTGTGATTTTCTGAGAAACATTTCTTAAATATCTTTTGTAAACTTGTTGTAAAAGCTACAGAGGTACCACAAACATCACAAATTAGGTCAAACATAATTTGACATCATGTATTCTACATAAGTCAATGAATATCCATCGAAAACATATGTAGTAAAAAGATTTCACCTTCTAAAAATCATAAAGTACTACATTTCGAAGTCAGGCTTTTTAAATCCTTGCACTCAGAGAAAACCTACTTCTCTCATTTCCTAAGGACATGTGTTTTTCTACGTTGAGGACAAAAGTACAGTTCTTGGAACTCAAACTCCATCCACAATAGAACAGCCCATTTATCTGGCCTTGTCAGGAAATGAGGTGCTCCATAGAAATGACTTTTCCAAATAACTTGAGCATACCATGTTCAGTGCCAGATGTATTTTTTTAATTTTAATAAGTCACTGAGATATTTTTTTTTCTTTTTACATAGTTGTTTCTCTGTGTCAACAGAAGATACTAAATTGAAACTGAATGTTTTCCTGGAAACTCCCCTACGTCGTCATGGCATGCCCATGACTAGATCTACATCTCCTTGCAGTTTCCCACCATTAAAATCACAGTGTGAGATAAAGCCACTTTTGCCTGCATCCAGTCAAACTGAAAAATACCACCAGTATTTTACACAAGTGGAAGGTGAGGTTCTCACAGGTTGAATGACTTGTGGAGACCACAGACCAGTGTGTTGCACAGCCTACTTATTCCAAAGCCTGTTTCCCAACCATTAAGTTAAAATAAGTAAGTACATGCATTTTTAAGAATCAGTTTTATGGGGCACCTGGGTGGCTCAGCGGCTGAGCATCTGCCTTTGGCTCAGGTCGTGACCCCGGGGTCCCGGGATCGAATCCCACATCGGGCTCCCCGCAGGGAGCCTGCTTCTCCCTCTGCCTGTGTCTCTGCCTCTCTTCCGGTGTCTCTCATGAATAAATAAATAAAATATTTTTTAAAAAATCACTTTTTAAAAAGGTATTAAATAAAGATCTCTAGGGCTTAAGTGAGAGCCCACCACAGTGAGGTACATACATGCACAGAACTGCACTGAACGGGTCGTCAGGACAACTGGGGCCTGACGAGGTCACTCTTAGCTCCACAATTTATTTGGGGGATGGGGTGTTATGGGCTGATCTGTGTTTCCCCTCTTCCAAAGTTCATGTTGAAATTCTAACCCCCATATTTGGAGATAGGATCTTTACAGAGGGAATTAAATGAAAACAAGGTCACCAGGGTCACTAGGGTGAGTCTAGTCCCATATAAGGGATATCCTTATAAGAAGAAGAAATTTGAACATGGAAACATATAAAAGGAAGATGACGTGAAGACACAGGGTTGAGACTTGTCTACAAGCCCAGGAGAAAAGCCTCCGAAGAAACCAACCCTGCACACCTTGATCTCAGACTTGCAGCTTCCCAAATTATGAGACGATACACTTCTATTGTTTCAGTCACCCAGTCTGTGATCACTTATTACCGTCACAGCCCTAACAGACTGACACAAGGGGTTTTAAAAAAGACTCTTTCAGGGTGACCAGAGGTCTCCACCCTCCTTTTGTATGAAACAGGCCTGTGATATGGAGGAGGGAACTTAACTATGCAACAAAGCTAAAAAATACGTGGTATTGTTTGCTGTTCTGTACGCTGTCCATCTGGATGGAGCCCCTCTTCATACCACTGGGGAAAAACTTGCTTTGTTTTTTTAACCTGGATTATCATGGTCCACATCAGAAATCCCAGAAAATAAAGAGCTCTGGGCAGCTTCAACCCAGGCCAGTAGCTGAACACAGCTTACTATAAATTCCCTAACGTCTCACCTATTTTCCCTCTATGTTGTTTTTAGTACAAATGAATGGTAAACAAACAAAGCCAGGAAGCATTTAAATAAATAGGAAATCTGTGTTACAATGATAATTTTCACCATCTAACACAAAGAGCCAGACTTGGAGATTATCCTGGACTTAAATTTCTGCCCGCATCCCAGACAGAGTAACTGCACAGAGAGCTGGACATCCATCAGGTGAGACACCGATTCTCACAGGCTTTGCGGCCAGCTCGAAAAGAAATGAAAGGAAACGGGTATACTTGGTCACCCGGGAATCTCTAACCACAAGGAAATAGCTTGGAAGAAGAGCATGGTGTGAAGCAAGACCAGTGGTGACCTTCAAATCACCAGGTTTTAAACATCTACTTATAGTCTGTGTTTGAGAAGACGACTGGACGCAGGGCTATGTGGACGTCAGGTGAGAAAAGCTAAAAGCACCTATGCTTTGTAATAACCAGGAGCTAACTGAGATCAAACTCATGATCCCATTTAATCTGCTCAACAACCCAAGGAGGCAGGGTACTTTTATTATGCCTATTTTACAGGCCAGGAGACTGAGGCTGAAAGAGGCTAAGTAAATTATAGAAGCTCATGTAATAGTAAGTAGCAGACCCAGAATTTGAACCAAGATCCTTCTGACTAGAAAGCTCATGATACACTGACACTTCATTCCCACAAGAGAGCCATTATCAAAAAAAGAAAAAAAAAACTGTTTAAAACAAAGACAACTCTAGAATTCATGAAAAATTATCTATTCAAGTAAGAGTTGGCGATTTATCAAGAAACACTCATAAAAAGGAAATCTCACAGTAGTTTAGCAAAATGGCTTTTAAGAAATTCTTAAAATATACGTGAACCATGCGAAATGAAGGGGAAATGGTAGACACAGGAGGAAAAGCAGGACATGGAGTCACTCAGGGAATTTCTCAATAAAGAATTACACCAGCGGTAACTGAATCACAGGCTTACCTTTTCAGCACAGAGAAAATGACCAACGCCAAAGCTCTGAACATTTGTTTTGAGAGTGCGCCATGTATTCCATCCCCTCTACCTCAGAAATTGTAGCACTTACCTCTCTCTGGAAAAAATTCCAAGCGTGAGTAAGCCACCGGTATCGAGGTAAGCCATAATTTGTCATTCTGGCTTTCAAAGTGACCATGTCGGACCACTGTACTGGCACCTGGAGACAACCAACGAAACATCAGCAACTGGAACCCACCAACACACAAACATCAACGGCGCACACGCTCATACACCTACTGGGAATGTACTGCGATTAGCAAATACCATTCTAAATTTATATTTGTGTGTGGCCTAATTAAGCTTCAAGGTTATTAGCTATTGATTAGCCAATCTCTGGGTGTAGATGTTTACAGTAAAGGAGAAAGTTCTTTACATGAAGCAAAAAAAAAAAAAAAAAAGCAACATCAGTGAATGCCAAGATCCAGCTGAAGGAACCCACAAAACAAGCAGTTTACTGTGCATCCTGCAGCTCCAGCTGACGGGCTCCTCGTAACACACGATCCCTGCCCAGAAATGCCCTTGGATTTGATTTCATAACGCTGTGGAGCTGGTCTTTGAAGTGACTGCAGACAGTAGGACTAAGATAAAGGGATGAGACTTAAGAAGGGAAAGAACTCAGCTCAGGTCAAGCCTTGCTCCGGAATACGTGTGTAACTATCTTCCCCCAAACTGGACCCTGGACACACGCTGGAATTTTAGGAGGAATACCTCTGAATTAAAGCACATTTTGTATCAAGTCACCTAGCACCGTGTCCCTTAATCATGACAGAGCCTCAGGCACATGACACAACAGCCGGCCCGAAACCCCGTCATCCTATCGAGCA